CCCAGGGCACCTCCTGGGAAGTGTCTCAGCCTGGCAGGGAAGTCCTGGTGCATCTGCTCTCCCTTGGGACTGTGCCCAGTGGGACAGCAGGGCAACCACCTGCTTTCTGGAGGGGTTTCAAGAGAGCCTGTTGTGCTGAGCATCTCACCCCCCTGCTGTGTCTCCCAGCCCTGCAGCACTTCAGTGAGAGCATCCAGGAGTACCTGGCCAACCTGGACAAGGCCCCCGACCCCACGGTCAGGAAGGACACCTTCTCCAATGACATCTTCAGTGCCTATGAGGTGCTCTTCAGCAGCTGGCTGCAGCACAGGGAGCCCAAGGTGGGGACACCTGGGCAGGGGGGTGGGGTGGGACCCCCCTGGGTGAGGAGCTGGGGAGGGGGGTTGGAGTCACAGAATCATGAAGGTTGGAAGGGACCTCCAAGATCATCCAGTTCCAGCCCCCCTGCCATGAGCAGGGACCCCTCCCAGCAGCCCAGGCTGCACAAAACCTCATCCAACCTGGTGTGAAACACCTCCAGGGCTGGGGCATCAACAGCCTCCCTGGGCAGCCCAGCCCAGCTCCTCACCACCCTTAGAGGGAAGAATTTCTTCCTAATATCACACCTGAATCTCCCCTCTCTCAGTTCAAAACCATCACCCTGTGAGTCTGATCTGAGCTTTGCAGCCCCTCAGCTCTGCCCCTTCTGAAGGGGGGGTGTCCAGAGGGGTGAACCCCCCTCTGCTCCAGGGGTGGGTGTTTGTGTCCTGCTGCCCCACAGCTCAGCCCTGTTCCCCCTCTCATCCGATCCCAGACTGGTTTGGGTTGGGGGGACCTCAGAGACCACCCAGTGCCCCCCTGCATGGGCAGGGACACCTCCCAGCAGCCCAGGCTGCTCCAAGCCCCATCCAACCTGCCCTTCAACACCCCCAGGGATGGGGCAGCCACAGCTTCCCTGGGCAACCTGGGCCAGGGGCTCCCCACCCTCACAGCCCAGAATTTCTCCCTCCCATCTCAGCTCCAGCTCCCTCTGCCAGCTGGAAACCCTTCCCCCTGCTCCCATCCCTCCCTGCCCTTGTCCCAAGCCCCTCCCCAGCTTTCCTGGAGCCCCTTCAGGCCCTGGAAGCTGCTCTCAGGTCTCCCTGGAGCCTTCTCTTCTCCAGGCTCAACACCCCAACTCTCCCAGCCTGTCCCAGAGCTGCTCCAGCCCTCCCAGCATCTCTGGGGCCTCCTCTGGCCTCCTGTCCCCTGGGGTGACACATGCAGAACAAACCTCCTGCTCCCCCAGAGCCCTGGGGCTCCTGCAGCCCTTTGGGGGACACCCTGGAGGTGCCTCCCCAGCTCTTGTCCTCTGCAGGTGGGGGTGACATATTGAGGCACCTTCTCTGCTGAGCCCCCCGTGCCCTCAGGGCAACAACCCTGGGGAGATGCTGCCCCAACCCGTGCCCAGAGGCTCCTGGAGGCTCAGGAGGGGCAGTTCCCTGGTCCACCCAGGGGTTGCCCACACCAGTGACCCCCAGTCTGTCCTTGCAGCTGAGACTGGCCGTGGTGGAGGCTCTGGGACCCATGAGTTACCTGATGCCCGGGGAGAAGCTGGAGGAGCAGCTCCCAAAACTGATTCCAGGCATCCTCAGCCTCTACAAGAAGCACACGGAGGCCTTTTACATATCCAAGGTGAGCAGCTCCCAGTGCAGCTCCTTGGCCTTCAGCCCCTGGGCAGCCCAGAGCTGGGCCCAGCTCTCCAGAGGTGTCCCCCCCAGGGCAGAGCAGAGGGGCAGCACAACCTCCCTGACCTGCTGCCCACACTCTTCTTGCTCCCCCCAGGAGCCCAGGGCCCTTCTTGGCCCCCAGGGCCCACTGCTGGCTCATGGTCCCCCTGCTGCCCCCCAGGGCCCCAGCTCCTGCTGCCCAGAGCTGCTCCCCAGCAGGTGCCCCCACCCTGTGCTGCCCCAGGGCTGGTTCCTCTGCCCTTCTCCTTGAGCCTCAGGAGGTTCCCCCTTTGCCTGCCCCATGGAGGCAGGAGGGACCCTGGGCAGGGGCTCTGCCCACCCTGGGGAGCAAAGTGAGGTCCCCTGGGATGGGGGCAGCAGCCAAGTGCTCTCAGCCAGGGTGTCCCCCCCCTGGTTCCCTGTCTCCTCCCAGCTGGACCTGCCTGGTCCCTCTCCCTGCCCCATCATCCCTCCTGCTGGGGAGCCCAAGGCCCAGATGTTGTCCCCAGGGTTCCTGGGGTTTGGGGTGACCTGCAGCCCATCTCTGCTGCCCCCCCTGGGCCCTCTGCCCCTGCCTGCTTCTCGGGGAGCTCCAGGTCACCATGCTCAGTGGACAAGGTGCCTCTTGCTGTGGCTCTGGGGGAGGAGGCAGCTCCTGGGGACACCCCAGCTGTGTCCCCCCCTGGGAGGTGGGTTGTCCTGGTGGGTCCTTGGCCACTGCTCGTGCCCTCAGTCCCTCTCCTCGGGTTCATCTTGTGTCCTCCTGGAACCAGCAGCACTGGGGGGATTGGGAGGTCACCCCCTCCAACCAGGGGCACCTGCACCCAGAGCAGGAGGCTCAGAGCCCCGTCCAACCTGGCCATGATTGTTGGGGCATCTCCCCCCTCTCTGCCCATGTCCCACCACCCCCAGCCCTCACGAGCTCCCTCCTTGGATTGTCTCTGGCTCCTCTGGGGTCAGTCCCTGGTGCTCATGGTCTCCTGGTCTCTTGCTGAGCAGAGTCTGTGCCAGATCCTGGAGGCTTCTGTCAACATGGGCAGCCGCAGCCTGGACGTGCAGCTGGAGCCTCTGCTGGGGACCCTGCACCCCCAGGTGGGGCTGGGCAGGGAGGGACCACCCTGGGGCTGCTGGGGGGAAGGGGCAACGTGGGGCTTGAGGCTTCCCCTGAGCAGGGCACTTTGTGTCCCCTGGCCCTGCCCCTCAGCCCCTGCTCTGCTCAGCTGGGCTGGGGTCAGTGGTCCCCTCAGTGAGCTTGGGGGTGACACCAGGGGGGTGGGAGTGTTGGTCTGTCTGAGGGCAGGGGGTGGTGGGG